CTGTATGTGCAGTTCACAATGATGGCGAATCACCATGCACCACGCTGGCGTGGCATATGAACGTTTAGCAAAGCGAGTTTCCGACATGCTTTTGAAGCTTAGGCGCCGAAAGCTATTGAACGTGACTTCGATTATACTTACAGAAACAAGCTTGCTGGCATGAGAAAACCCAAATCTCATGATGTTTTCGCTCTTCCCCATCGGCTTCGTCCCTAGTATGCTTCTTCGACGGCCGCAAACAGAAACTGAATGACGGGGTCTTGGGCTAGGGACCCAGTTACACATAGACTGAGTTACTATGTGGCTTTTCTATACCCAGTTCTTCCGAACTCTGTTGACCTCTACTTGAGGATGGAGTAAGGCGAGCAACGATGCTCGACTTGAGGATGGAGTAAGGCTGCTCGAAGTTAGTAACTGCTTCCGGAGACACTGCACGGCCACGACGCCAATCGAGGATCAAGCGAGGAAGGATCGAAAGAAAACAAATCTAAACTTATTTCGCCCAAATGGCCACTCAGACACAATATACAGAACCAGACGAAGCATTGGACATGATCAGATGCGTCCACTAGACGAAACGACTTCGTCGTCAGACATGAGAAAGATTCATGAAACAATGCTTTGACGGCCCGGCTGCGAGAAGGTTGATCGTCGTCGGCCTTCCGTGAAGCAGCCATCAGCTCTCGCTGTGTAGAAAACTTCAGTTCGAAGTGCGACTGGGCACCCGGCATGACGGGGTGGGAGATCAATGTTCGCAGGCAGTCCGATCGGAACGGAGTTGATCATCCTCAGGCGATTCTGCACAGATTGAATAGCTGACGACGGCTCGCGATCGACTAGAACAATAACGTCGCAAACCTAGACCAGGCACAGAAGCAAGGAAGCAGCAGAGCGAGGCGGGGGTGGAACTGCCTTCCACGGCTTGAGCTGGTAATGCTGCAACCCGGCCCAGGTGGGCAGATTTCGGAGAGATGCAGTAGACATATACTGCATGAGGCATGCACATTCATGGCGTGTGGAGCAATGCCAAACTTAAAAGCGTCTTTTTGATCATCACGATTTACACCCTGCGGACGAATGTCTCGTTGCGAATGCACACGATCGCGTCGGCACGATCTCCCGGCAGACACAAACTACTCCGGCGGAAGCCAAGGCATCTGTCCAGCAATGTAGGCCTGACAGCCGACACACGCAATGAACTGACAGAGATAGCACTCCCTGTTCAACAAAACTATGCTGGAGCCAAGATGCTGTGACCCGGCCAGCGACAGCACCAAGACAGGGCTTCCTGTGTTCCGACTCTTGACATGCTTCTTTGCTGTTCACTTCTTGACTTAGGGAGAACCCGCTTATGCTAGCCATTGCAGTCACAGCAAATGCATGGATCACGAGTCGCAGTGGCGCTCCACATGACAAGTTGTTCCACTTCAAAAGTGTCTGGCATGTAGGTTACCCGGCTAGCCTTTGCACTACCGCATGCGCTCGAACTCGCCGCTGCTGTCTCGGAACAGCATGTTGCCTCGACTGCTTCATGGTTCAAGGGATCTCCTGGCTTGGGCTTCGAGAAGACGTAGCTGTCACAAGGTAGCGTGGGACACGGAACCCTGAGAGCTGCCGGACTACTCTGTGAGGCGGGAACGGAAGCGTTCCGACCACGCAGTCAAGTTTCAGAACACCTCGTCGGCAGCAGGAGTCCAGAAAACCGATGGATGCAGGAGAAGCCCCCGAGGCTGAGCTTTTAAAGAAGTAATTCAACGATGGCAGTAGGTTGGGCCTGAACTCTGTCTGCCTGCAGGAGTCTTTGACAAAACCGCGAATCAAATCTGCAGGTTGGACGAGGCCGCGGCTAGTTTCCAGTCTTCCCGCAAGATGTTCAAGCCAACCTGAGCACATGCGGTGTCTTCACACTAAGGCAGACTGCAAAGTGTCGACTGCCCTGTTGTCGATACGTCAAACCCTGGAATTGCCTGTAGCCTATGCACCATAGGCCTTGGCTTGATACCCGAAAGGAAGCGCTTTGCATGTCAAGTTCTTGGAAGATCTTCAGCTACGAAGTGAAACGGCACAGGTCATGCTCAAGGGCAACAGGTGAAACCCCTTCAGCACTGGCGATGACAAAAGCCTACGCACGATGATCGTAAGTTCGTGGCGTTGCCCGGTAGGTCGATGTTGGGGTGGCAAATCTGCGGTTCACCACCTTGCCGCAGTCATGCTTTCTTCCGGCAGGAAAGCTTCAACCGGGAAGGGGGGCTCACGGAGGTGCAACCAGCGCCAGGCGCTCCGAGGGCCCAAGTCACAGGATTCCCGATTTTTCTGAATCGCTCAGACATTGTCCAAGGAAGCACTGGTGTCACTAGTGCTGGTCTCCACAGCTGTACGAGCACCCTGGCCCACGCATGCTCAAACCACCCCTAGCATTGGCCAGCGCGTCTTTGCCTCGGCGTCGCCCAGGTTGGCGCAAACAGAAGAACAGCAACTGCAGTAGCACACATGCTCAGCAAGTCTGTCAGCCTGGGTTCCGACTCTGACGCAAGTCATATATATATATATATATATAGATATATACTCAAATAGCCCCGGCAGTGCAAGAGACTATATTCAAACAATGTGCCGTCAAGGTGAACTTACTGAAAGACGAGCTGCAGTTTCATTGAGGACTTGCATCGAGAAGTCGTCCGAAGAAATGAAGTAGCCAACAGGACCGGATAGCTGATCCGAACTCAGCTTCAAGGGGAGAAGAGGAAGGAAGGCAAAGTGACAAAAGGAGGTCAAGGTGGGTGATCACAAAAGGGCCCCCATTCGACATTTTAGTGTCCCGGTTGTTGCCTGGCATCTTTCTTTTCCGTGCTGGGCCACTGACTGACAGCATCGGGGCCGAGCAATAGAATCTTGACACATGAACATCTTTGACACCGCACTTGGGACATCGGAAGAGTTCGCACAAGTGTGAAACACTTGACAAGCAAATGTCTCAGCAGTCGTCCAATGTAGGCCTCTGTGCACGGTTGTCAGTAGTTGTCAGCCCGTAGGGCCGTAGGTGCTGAATGATGTCTATCCAGATAGAACTGTGCAGCTGTGCGTTTCGACAAAGGCTCAAGCTGCGAAGTTGCTCTGCTTCCATGAGCTCCAGGATTCACGAACACTCTACAAATCCAGCATGGAAGGTGTGTCTGCAGAGCACGAAGTTCTCACTTCGAAGCCGCAAGCTTTATACTTGCGCCTCGCGCAGGTTGGAAAAACCATCACGGATTGAGGAGCTGACCAGCAACCAACTCCACAAATGCATCTCCTTTGCCATGTCAGGCGCCAGATGTGAGCAAACGTGAAGAACAAGTGACGATTGTGCGCCTCCTTGCTTTATCACATTCTAGGTGGAGGGTACTCACGAGCCGAGCAATCTGCTTCGCTGGTGTGACATCACGACATCCATCGTTACCAATATCACTAGCTGTGCTAACATCCACACAGCTGTCAACAGCTTTGTTCTACTGCTTCATATTTAAGCCGGTTCCTGCAGAATGGCTTGGAGTTCCATGTACCGGGAAGGCGCCCAGCTAAAGCCGAGAAGCTAGTCGGCTAAGCAGATCTGCGGATCAAGATTCAAAATCCTGGGTCCAAGGCTCTGCAGCCGAGAGGTGACGTGGGAGCGTAGCTGCGAGCTCAGGCCTTCAAAAAGGACCAGGAATACGCAGATGGACGCTCCTGCAGACCCCAGTTGAAGGCATCGGGACGGTGATGATGTGGACAGCATTTTGAGAGATTTAGGGCCCAGGCTGCGGAACTGACTAGCCACGAACTCCATGAATGCACGTCCTTCGCCATTCCAGGTGCCACATGCCATCACTCGGCAGAATACGTGTCTTATAGTCGTGCACCTATACTTCTTCTTTTTATGGTCTGGTAGTTATTGGAGGTTACTTAGGAGCCGAAGGCAACGAACCGCTTGACAGTTCAGTAGTTTGAAACACCAAGGGGGCACTCACGAAGTAGGTACACATGCTGCACGTGCAGGGACTGTACACAGGTTCACAATCGCAATAGACTTATATGAGCCAATGTCATTAGCCATACTAAAGTGCACCCTGACATCAACAACTATGCTAGTGTCTGATAGTTATGCAGTTATGCTGGTTCGTACAGATATGCGGAGGAGTTCCTGCATATACACATCTTGACACATGTGCTCCAGCATGAAGCTGCCGAGAGGCTCAGAACGCAAGACCTGCTTAAGCATGTGCGGAAAGGTGCTGGGCGTTCGCAAGCAACCTCAAGTAACTGAAGGTTGCTCGTAGCACGAGACCGTCAGTATGCGCGGCCTGTTCTGCATGCTGAGAGCAACTGCGACGATCTGCAACATACAGTCCGCAGCTGCTGCTCGCTTCATGCCCCTTTTCCTGAAACAGACTTGTGCATGAGGACCACTATGGTCAACATTGCAACACTAGAAGTGCACCAGGCTTGTTCCTGATGCATGCTATACACTGCCTGATGCATGCTTTGCACTAACAGACAAAGCACCTCTGTGGATGCAACCCTAGAACAAGAGACACCGCGAAGAGGGTGTCAAACTAGCTAAAGTACAAGCACTATGGTCAACATTGCAACACTGGAAGTGCATCATGCTTGTGCCTGATGCATGCTGTGCGCTGACAAACAAAGCATCCATGTGGATGCAACCCTAGAACAAGAGACACCGCGAAGAGGGTGTCAAACTAGCTAAAGTACAACCACGTGTGTGGGAAACATGGTAACACTGGAAGTGCATCATGCTTGTGCATGATGCATGCTGTACGCTAACAAACAAAGCATCCATGTGGATGCAATCCTAGAACAAGAGACACCGCGAAGAGGGTGTCAAACTAGCTAAAGTACAAGTCACTGTCCGCGGAGAAATGCTCATCGAGTAAGCTCAAGGCTCAGGGCGTCTACCCAGATACGGTGTACCAAACTTTGGGAAAGGGATGTCGAGGCCTCGCGAATCTTGCCACCGGAGCAAGTGATCAGTCGGGATCTTTGTACACGTTACCACATGAGGACTCTGATGAAAAGGCTTGGAAACCCTTCACCAGCTGGATGCTTTCTTGGTGCGGTTCCAGGTGGACGGAAATTGCGGGGTCATCCTTCAATATAACCTTCGATAAAAATCTCTTCCTGCCACGTCCCTGCCAATGACATAGACATCCCTGCCGTCTCACTTCCTCGTTGAAGCGTGAGAGGAGAAGGCTCTTGCCGGATCCATACCGCCGGAGTATGCCGATGAGATCGCGACGGAGCCCCATAGTTTCTGGAGTCGGCTGCGTGCCAGCCAGGGTACACGCCTGACAGGCGTGGATGATCTGAGAATACAGAACCGGGCTGTTGCCACCGGACATCGAAAAGATTCCCTGGACTGATTTCGGGGTTGAGTTGTCCGATGTCCGGCCATATTTTTTTCGACGTCGGGACTGGAAGGCATGCGACGTGCATGGCGGGATGGGACGGTTCCGACGACACAGAACATGAGGTGTTGGAGTGGACAGTGATAAAGTCACTGCGTCATCACGGATCACAGGGGCTGCTCCGATGTTGTATCGAGACGTGCAACTTCCCGGTTCCCCCCCGGTCATGAGACCGCAGGCCGTATCACTATGCTACATGCAGAACATGCCCCTCGAATGCCATCCGGCCTGCGCGCTGACGGCACCACTGCTGCAGTTCTGATTCACGGCAGAAGCGGTCTCATGACGTCCCGGATCCTGGGGCAGATCGGAGTGTAGTGCAGTAAAGTGCTTCCTCTGCTCTTGAACCTGCAGGTTGCTACCAGTAGAACGTCATGCAGCTACAATGCTTGCAACTATTGTTAGTGCTTTCACGGCTTGAGCTGGCACGCTGCAACCTTCGGGGCATTGCTTGGAGGGCTCATGCAGCTTGCCGCTGCTCTCAGCCAGAGCAATCGGGATTCAACAACTTGGCGTGGCATGAGGAATCCGCGTTCAGGCGGCATGGGGAACGATCCCAAATGCAAACACATCTTTGACATCCCCTCGGGTCCCGAAGCTGGAGCTCATGACGATTCACCCATGCGGAGTCATGGTGGGCGATCTCGACGGCCAGCAACTCAGGAACGTAGGCCTCACAGCCAAAACATGCCGAAACACTCAGAAGCAAAAAAATGTGTTTCTACGTTTCCCAGACTTCATCATGCTACGTTTCTCAGAATTCATCATATGTCATATCTCCTCTGCTCTTGACAACGTGAGCTGCTCTAGCGTCGTACCGTTGCAATCCGTGCAAATCTTTCTAATGCGTTCACGGCTTGAGCTGGCATGCTGCAACATGGCCCAGGTGATCAGACTTTCGACAACTGAGATCCGTTGCCTCCTCGTTTTGGTGGGCCGTCTGCCCATTCTCCAAGGCTTCCGCATACAGCTTTAGCAAGTGGTTGGCGCATTCTATATGACCATTCTTGGAAGCAAGGTCGAGTGCCGTGATACCGTCTGGCCCACGTGCATCCACATCTGCCTTGGCGTCTAGCAGCTCTTTTAGCACATTGAGGTGCCCAAGCTTAGCTGCGATGTGAATTGGGCAGGCCCCACTCGCCAAGCTTTTCTGCGCATCGGCCCCGAAAAGGCCCAGCTTCCTCACGATGCCGTCTTTCCCTGCCTGTGCCGCCACGAACATCGCTGTCGCACCGCTGCTCTGCATGCTGATGTCTAGCCCTTTCACGCCGGCCCTGTTTATGATCTCTGGCACCAGGACGTCCACCACAGACACGTGCCCTTTGTAAGCTGCCAAAATCAAGGGCGTGGTGCCATCATGTGCCGCTGCAAAAACATCGGCCCTGTGTTGCAGCAGGGGTACGACAACCTCCTGGTGCCCGTTCTGAGCCGCTTTGAACAACGGCGTGGCTCCGTCTTGGCTGCGCACTTGTGTCGATGCGCCTGCTTTCAAAAGCATGCAGACAATCCCTGTATAGCCGTTCTGGGCGCCAAAATACAGGGCCGTTAAACCAGTCGGATCTTCCAGGTTTATGCTCGTCGTGTCGCAGGCGGCCAGGACTCGGCTGAAGACTTTCTCGTTCCCGTTCTGGGCCGCAACCATCAGTGCTGTTGCCCCATCTGCTGTCCTGTCATTCACTCACGCATTCACCTTGAAGACTCTTGAAACCTTTTCACAAGAATTTCAAAAAAAGCTACAAAGATGTCCTGTCGTCTAGGGCTTGTAAGACCGAGTGTGCACAAGCAAAACCAGTTGGCTGGTTGTCAAAATCATGGTCCCTTTTTGGGTTGTTAATATAATGCGGCACCTACTATTTAGGGCACTCAAAAAGGGACCCTAATTTTGACAACTGCCCAGTAGTTGAACCCGACACCCCCCCCCCCACTCCCGCCTCCCCCCTTCCCCAAAACAAGCACCAAAAAAAGAATCTTCAGGAAAGAATAAGATGGGCAAGATCGTTCGAGTGCCATGAACAAGCATGTCTGCATGGCTGTACTCTATGCTTACCAGAGACATGTTCAGCCTGATGTTGCCCCATCCGCCGTCCTCTCATTCACGTCGGCGAGGGCACCCAACAAAGTTTCCACAATCTCCAGGTTGCCGTTCTGGCAACCAGCGTACAGCGCGCTTGCAAAGATAGCTACGTGCGTTCCAGGGCTAACTTGCCTGTTGACACTGGCACCGCAATCCAGCAAGAATCGGACCACGGCCACATTGCCCTTGTCGGAAGCTGCAAAAACGGGTGAAGCTCCCCTCTTGTCCTTGCGGAGATGCCGACATCACGGCAAAACGGAAGATACATGACATGTAAGAAAGGCATCACTTGACGTAAAAGTAGGTGCCCGGTTCGAATTCTTTGAGGCATGACATCTTCTCTTGGCTGGGCGATGTGTAAGGAATGAGCGGCAAATGCCACTGTTCTGCACGCTGCTGCTATTGCTGCTGGAATGCTCACCATGTTTCTCACAACAGATGCGTGAGGTTTCTCTTGGAATTTGCACGTCCCTCAATTGACAGCAACACAACACTGCCTGACCTTGTCCTTTACAACTAGTTCCTGGTATAGACGTTTGCTTCATGTCGGTAACACCACCGAATGCTATCAGAATTTGCGTCCAGGGCTCAGGTATGTCGAAGTCTGCATTGGCCTTGTTTAGGCAATGAAGGCTCTCCAAGTTACCGTTTCGGCTGGCCTTCCATGCGGCTGTCTGGCCACGCGCATCCACGCAGTTCGGGTCCTGACCCGCCCATAGGGCCGACTCCAGCTCGCTCGTTTCACTGCTATGGAGCAGGTCCCTGTACTCCGGGAAGTCTTGAGGAACAGCCTGGTACACGTAAATTTGCGATGGTTTTTGGAGCTCTTCCCATGTGCCGGAGCTGGGGCATTCTCTCTGCGTGCGTGCCCCCTCAGAACCCGGCAAATCCACCATCAGCTTTGTAGCGTAGTATGACAGCCGCAATGATAGCCTGAAATTCTCGTGGAGGTAATTTCGGAGCCAACCAATGAAATCCGGCTTGTCACATGCTACATACCACGGTATAGTGTGGAAGCGCTTGCCGGTCAGGCACCATCTCAATGAAACCCAACGGGTCAAAAAGGCAACCTTCTTGATGTGGCTCTGCAAACGATGGTTGTGGTGGCAGATCGCTTCCACCTTTGGACAGAACCATGTCCTCGCTCCACATGGCCGAACCATGGTTTTTGGCAGTTCTACGATGACGACTGCCAAATCTTCCAAATCATACCGCTGCTCCCAACCGGCGCCGAAAACGTTGAGCATCAGGTTCTCCTCCCAATGCAAGGACTGACATTCTGCATCTGTTGGTGGCAACTCTGTGAAGTAGATCCCAGGTCCAAAGGTGTTGCAATCGGAGAGTGCGAACCCTTCCTTCAAAATGCTCCGTGCGTTCTCTATGGAAGTGTAGTGGTACAGCAGCACCATGCAGGACGTGTCATGACAATCTACCAGACGCTGCAGCATCTTGGCCATTTTCTCCTGCTTCTCCTTGATTGAGGCCGAAGGGAGCAAGAAGTCATCGATCTCGAGCGACTCCTGCAACCGGCGAAAGCCGGGACCACCCTCCACTTCAAGCTCACGCCCATGCGGCCGACGAGGAATGGGATCGATTTCCCGCCTGGCTTCAAAATCATCGGTGAGCTTCTCGACGCATGTCACCATCAGTTCACCAAACTCGCGGCAATTTGCCTTTGAGACAGAGAGAAAGGCAAGCTGGCGGAAAGGCATGCGGACCAGGACTCGCTCAAGACGTAGCTGTGCGTAGTCGGAGGTCGTCTCCTCACCAGTGGCATGTTTCATGGCCTCCTCTGCCACCAGATCCAAGCTCTCCTTCGCGAGCGGTAGGAAGCCATTCCTGTCCGCGTTCGACGTCAAGATCCGATGGAGCATCAGAAGAGCTTCCCGCTTGCCCATCAAGTTGAACTCCTGCCTGTGACTCCTGCGCATCAGCATCGCAGGACGCCTTGCATGCGGCATGTGGCAGCAGTTGCATTGCGCTCCGTTCGAGCACCTGCCTCTTACCAAGAAGAGGCATGGGCGCTTACAAAGGTGTGGGTGCCCCCTGCTCCCACAGCTTGCCTCCTCGGGAGGGCTGTGAGCAGCAAGGACTGTCTCTCTTCCACCATCAGCGAGGCTGTGAATTCTGGAAGTATCCAGAGACTGCGCGTAGCGCGCCTCGTCGATCAAGGTGCGGCTGCCAAAGGCCTCGCAGGGACTGGATGTGGGCTGCGGCCGGTTCTGAATGCAGATCATGTCGGAATGCCGGGAGCTGCGGGGGAACGTGATCGTGACGTTGATGTCGGCATCATTTACTGCCTGCTTGAGCCTCAAACGATACGTACTTGTCGTCCTATCGCAGTCTGAAGGACTGTGAGAAACGCTTATTCACTCTTAGCGGTGTCACCGGGCAGTCAGTTGAGAAGCTGTGACAGACCACGAAGCGACGGGAACAGTTGCCCTCTTTTGTAATCCTGGAGGATCGGTACAATCGCAAAACCCAAACAGCAGCATGGCTCGGCAGCTACACAAAACTGCCTAGATTGCCAGTGTTGCCAAGGGCTTCATGCATGCATTTACCATGCGCCAAAGTACGCAAAACTGACTACACATTGGCAGGTGCGAGAGTCAAGCATGCGAGAATGCAGGACCTTGTCACACCCCGCGACCCTGTACAAGGCCTCCCTTTGCAAAGGTCGGCCAGTTTCGTTGCGTACGACGACCAGCCGGTGGCTAAGACGGATACAAAGGCTACACCAAACAGGTCGGCTCTTCCAAAAGCACTGTGCAAGTTTGGAGGCATCTCTGGCAGCTAGAACGACATGCTTCCACCATCAGGATACAACATTAAGACATTCCTGTCATCCCTCTCATCACATGATCGACGGAGAATCGACGGTGGCCCGTACAAGACTAGGCGTACTACGCGAACGGACAGTGCGCCGATCCGGAGCCAGAAAAAACCTGGAATCCAAAAGAATGACGCGCAGATGGGAAAAAGACACGCTGGCAAAACCTGGCGCTAGGCAGCTCAAACTTGGGACGAGCTCCATGTGCTGTTCGAAAGAATTGCCGCTGACAAGTTTTAGGTTCTCAACCTTGCCACGGTCAGACAACCACAATAATGGATCAGGATCTAGCCACGTTGCACATCCATGTACTCCGGCAGTGATCACCTTGCCTTTACATCGCAACCTTGCAGATTAGTTGCTCCCAAATTCACCGCATGACGCACCTCCTTACATTGCGCCCTGCTTCAGCCGTCCAACAGGACCGCATTCGATAAGCGCTGGGAGCACCCTGCAAATGTTGCTAGTCACATCATGACGGTATGGTTTTATCTCGAACGTGTCGGGCGTAGCTCCTAGTGCGACCAAACATATTTCTTTTTCCCAAGCAGGGCCTCATCGGAAACTTGCCGGGCACCGGGCCAGAACCTTTCCAGAAGGGGCAGCCGCCAGCATAGTATCAGTAATATCAGTATATGTTTAATAGAGTTCTCTATGTAAGTTACACGTAAGCGCATGAGAGAGAGAGAGAGAAAGAGAGAGAGGGACAGTGCACTCACTCTTTTTTGCCGGCGGAGGTTGCAGTGTGTTCTATGTTTGAGCATCTGTGGCAAGGCGGTGCGTCACATGATAACACATAGAAAACACTGCTGACTAAACAAACAAACGCACAGCGAGCGTTCTCTATGTAAGTTACACGTAAGCGCACGAGAGAGAGAGAGAGAGAGAGAGAGAGAGAGAGAGAGAGAGAGACTTTTTATTCTCGATTCCCAAACGAACACATGAGCCACCACAACGGTCACCGTACTGAAATGTACAAATTTCATACGGAAATCTTTCAAATTCTGGTTATTGCATATAAATCACACAATAATGTGAAAAGTGGGAGTCTCCAATCAAAGAATACGATTTCAATATTGAAATCATATTGGAAAGTTGCAATCACTCGCGCCTCGCTGTTGATCGATGTCGGAGAGTCGGAGAGTCAAGGGGTGACGAATTCGAGATTTGACACTCCGAGTTTTCGGACGTGTCCCACAAGTGCCCTCGAAGAGGGTCACCCAACCGACATCGCCGAGGACACAGCCTCGCACGATGGCACACCACCCAGGGCGGGAGGGCGGGAAAAACACAGAGTAGCACTCAGCTACCACATTTCGCATGTTGCTAAGGTTGCCCACCACCCACCTCAGCCAATGGCTTCGCGGGTGGCACGAAGTCAAACGCAATTGTTTGGGTACTCATGTGTACGTGAAAATTCTGAGTCCAAAATTTTCACAGAAAAAGTTTGGGTCGAGAACAAAGACTTATCAATCACGATTGAAAATTGTCTTATTCTCGATTCCCAAACGAACACATGAGCCACCACAACGGTCACCGTACTGAAAAGCACAAATTTCATACGGAAATCTTTCAAATTCTGGTTATTGCATATAAATCACACAATAATGTGAAAAGTGGGAATCTCCAATCAAAGAATACGATTTCAATATTGAAATCATATTGGAAAGTTGCAATCACTCGCGCCTCGCTGTTGATCGATGTCGGAGAGTCAAGGGGTGACGAATTCGAGATTTGACACTCCGAGTTTTCGGACGTGTCCCACAAGTGCCCTCGAAGAGGGTCACCCAACCGACATCGCCGAGGACACAGCCTCGCACGATGGCACACCACCCCTCGCTCCGATCGCCAATTGTGCGAGATGCTTGAAATCAATGCGGGCCCTGAGACCCCACTCATAATTGGAAATCCCACGAGAAGGCTCGTCAGCGATGTTCGAGTTGGTGTTCACCCTCTCGAACCAAGGATTGATGAAGTTCATGTCAAGAAGGTTGTGAGTAGAGGATACGATGACCCCACCAGCGTCGTTCTCGCTGCGCCCTTTGATCATGCTGTGAAGTGCCCCTTCATTGTCGGTGAAGATGATCACCTGGGTCCCGCGGAAAAGCTGAGCCCAAGTCCATAGCCCGCACCATATGGCAAAACACTCCAGCTCGAATATGGGATTCTCGCTCGAAGTAGTATTGATCAGTGCCTGTGTCTCATCGTCAAGATACTCGCTGTGTTGGCCGATGAATGCGCCGTCCTCAGAGATAAGAATGCCGCCGATGCCAGCCTTGGAGTCGTCATGTGAGGCGTCGACGTACAAGTGCCAGGTGTAGCAGGATCGGTCAGAAATACATCTAGCTGGGGACGTAGCTACATGGGACTTAAGGAATTCAAGAGAACCCAAAACAGAATCTTATTCCCCACATCACTGTGTGGGGTTCTTACTTTTTGGGGCTGTCCCGCCTCCTCCTCCCCATCCTCCTCCGCCTCCTCCCTCCTCCTCCTCCACCCTCCTCCTCATCCTCCTCCTCCTCCTCATCCTCCTCGTCCTCATCCTTCTCCTGACTTCATGATACAGACACCCACACACACACGTACATACAAGAGACACACACACATGTACATACAAGAGACCCTCCGCGACTAAAGATCCTCCTGGCCTGCTCTGGCCAAGGCCGCGCGCGCGCTGGGGGCGAGACTCTTTCGCGACTAAAGACCCTCCCGGGCCTGCTCTGGCCAAGGCCGCGCGCGCGCTGGGGGCGAGACTCCTCCGCGACTAAAGACCCTCCCGGCCTGCTCTGGCCAAGGCCGCGCGCGCGCTGGGGGCGAGCAACTAAAGACCCTCCCGGGCCTGCTCTGGCCAAGGCCGCGCGCGCCCTGGGGTCGAGACTCCTCCGCGACTATATACCCTCCCGGCCTGCTCTGGCCAAAGCCGCGCGCGCGCTGGGGGCGAGACGAGACTCCTCCGCGATTTCTGACCCTCCCGGCCTGCTCTGGGCAAGGCCGCACGCGCGCTCGGGGCGAGACTCTTTAAAGACCCTCCCGGGCCTGCTCTGGGCAAGGCCGCACGCACGCTGGGGCGAGACTCTTTAAAAACCCTCCCGGGCCTGCTCTAGCCAAGGCCGCGCGCGCGCTGAGAGCGAGACTCTTCCACGACTAAATACCCTCCCGGCCTGCTCTGGCCAAGGCCGCGCGCGCCCTGGGGGCGAGACTCCTCCGCGACTAAATACCCTCCCGGCCTGCTCTGGCCAAGGCCGTGAGCGCGCTGGGGGCGAAACTCTTCCGCGACTAAATCCCCTCCCCGGCCTGCTCTGGCGGAGGCCGCGCGCGCTGGGGGCGAGAGTCTTCCGCGACTAAATCCCGTCCCCGGCCTGCTCTGGCGGAGGCCGCGCGTGCTGGGGGCGAGACTCTTCCGCGACTAAATCCCCTCCCCGGCCTGCTCTGGCGGAGGCCGCGCGCGCAGACACACACAGACACACACAGACACACACAGACACACACAGACACACACACAGACACACACAGACACACACAGACACACACAGACACACACAGACACACACAGACACACACACACACACACAGACACACACAGACACACTCAGACACACACAGACTCAGACACACACAGACACACACAGACTCAGACACACACAGACACACACAGACACACACAGACACACACAGACACACAGACACACACACAGACACCCACAAACACACACGGACACACACAGACACACACACACACAGACACACACAGACACACACCGACACACACCGACAAACACAGACACACACACAGACACATACAGACACACACAGACACACACCGACACACACGGACACACACGGACACACACACAGGACACGCACTCACACACTCACACACTCACACACTCACATACTCACACACTCACACACTCACACACTCACACACTCACACGCTCACACACTCACACACTCACACACTCACACACACACACCCACACACACACACTCACACACACACACACTCTCTCTCCACTCGCACACCACACATGCACACATCATACACCCTACACCCACGTACGCACTCACAGCAGCACTCACTCATTCGTTCCATCACACACTCATTTA